TTTTCGGTGGTGACATCTTGTTCTCCACACGACAGAAGGTTGACAACGCGTGATTCACCGCGTGCATCCTCTACAACATGCTCCACAGCTTCAACCGCCTTGACGAGATGGAGGAGGACGCCGATTGGGTGGGGTCGGCAGGGAGGTTGGNTCTGCGTCACACTTGTACGTATGGCTAATGTATCCAAACCATGTCCGTAGACCCACGAACAGTTTTTCGGTGGTGACATCTTGTTCTCCACACGACAGAAGGTTGACAACGCGTGATTCACCGCGTGCATCCTCTACAACATGCTCCACAGCTTCAACCGCCTTGACGAGATGGAGGAGGACGCCGATTGGGTGGGGTCGGCAGGGAGGTTGGGGGAGGCGACGGGAGTGGCGGCGGCCATGGACGTGCACGAGGAAAGCGAGACTCCGACTCCCGGCTTCGAAGAGTTTCGCAGGAAGCTCATCGCGCACTTCACGTGCGCGTGGGAGAAGCAGGAGATTTTGTGGTTTAAGAGGGCGGAGGTTTAGAATATACGTGGTACATGTAGTCGGTAAGGTATGGGTGGGGGAGTTGTTTTGTTTGTGTTGGCGTGTATGGGCGAACCCTATGATATGTTTCTGTGTTGTGCGTTTTTTTTGTCGTGCGTCTGATAGGGTGAGGGCGTGATTACGTCTGTCACTAGTATTGGCGGCATGTGGCGATCTTCTTGTGGTGTTCTGAAGACGTTCTTTGTCCCTAGCTCCAGCGGTATCAGGGTAAGGGTAAGCCTGCTCCCGCGTGGTGTTTGATTTTGGGTTGGGGACACCCACCACGCCACCTGCGTCCCTCAGCTTCGTTTGACGATCATTTTGCTGTCGCGTACAGCAGTCACGTAGTCGTACTTTTTTTTCCAACACAGCAGTTGGTTCTCGTGGGGGCAGGCTGCCGTGCGTTACTTTTGTTCTTGTTCTATGTCGAACTACAGCCCAATATCCGCGAAGGTCTCCGACTTGCTGTTTTTCGTTCAGGCAGTCGTTGCTCTGTGTTTTTCCCTCCATGTAGATTTAGGCGCTCTTATTTTCAAACAGCTTTCGTTCGGTTTTCTGTCCATAATTCTGCCCTTCGTGCTTTGGGATATTTTGGGCGGTTTTCCGAGGTTTGCTTTTGATCATGCTGATGAAACAGTGGATTGAGAGGGGGAGCGGCGCTCCTCGGATCGTTGTGCTCGCGGCACAAAGATTGAGCAATTCGCTTTCAACCAAATGGAGTCTGACACTGAAATTTATATTGGAACTACTTGTGGCATCCGGAAGCACAAACATGATGGCGTGGAAAGGGTACACCGTACGGTGCACAACGGCAAAGCTACGTGCTTCACCGTAAATTATGACATCGCTTGAGCGGCCGATATATCGGCCCCGCTACACGTGTTTTTCGAGAAATGTGATTTCTTTCTGCCAATATCACAGATACAGCGCGAATACCGCGTCGTTGCTACCTCACTTTGGTAGACGTCGAAGCTTCTCAGACCCAAATCTTAGCAACCACAATCACGTACGCGCCTGATGTTCCCAAATGGTGGACCCAAGTATGAACCACCAGACAGGAAGCCTTCGCCCTTCGAATCAGTAGTACAACACTTGCCATTCCAGTAGTAATTATGTAACTACTGCTGCGTATGCACAACCTCGGAAAGGCCATGCCCCCTCTCAAAAAAGTGCATCTCCCGGCCAACTTTTACATGTCACGATGCACCCCCCTCTCACACTCGGCCGACTCGGTTGGTCCTCTCAAACCTTGGACCCATGTTGTCTCCTCCTTGGCAGGTCCATGCCCATCAGCGGTACCCCCCCCACAACTAGTTAGTGCCGTGTTTATGTTTATGCTTTATGCATTCGGACCAACCTTTCAAGCTTGAAGATAAACACATGAGCGACCTGGTAAAACGACGGTAAAAGTCCTCTATTCTGATAGACATGGTGTTAAAAGAATCCCCCCCCCACCCTTCCCCCCTCCCTGCATGTTGGTCACGTGCGAAAGAGTTGGTATTCTATTGCGCCTTTTGTGTCAAAAAAACACGAGATAATGAACACACACCCGCCGTTCTTTGAACAACGATCACATGCCAACACGCAAGTCAATCGTAATGGGATGACTAAACTTGTGTGGCAAGAACTCGAGCTCCGCCCGGTTCTCTGTCTCGTCCCCCAGACGCAGCATAATTTGTGTTCGCAGCCTCTAAGGCGGCCAGGCCCTTCTTCTTCGTCTCAAGGGTTTCCTTCCGGGATTCTTGAAGTTCCTTGTCGGCCGTTGCTTTCCTCTCCTGCTCCTTCTCTCGCTTGATTGCGGCGAAGTGTTGGCGGCGGCTCAAAGCGTCGCCGTTGGGGTCGAGGCGAGACATCACCGCGGGGCTGCACACGGGGTTTTCAGAGTCCACGTTGACGTCCCCGCCCTTCCGCTTTTTAGACGGCCCGTCCGAAGAGTCGAGGTGCTTCCACTCCGACGGGGCCTGACCGCTCCACGGGCTGTACGCCGCTGTGAGAAGCAGGAAGGGGAAGATCCACCACTCAGGCACCTCCTCGCCCTCGTGCTCGCCCTCGTCCCCGCCCTTATCCTGCTCTCGCTCCTGCTCCCGGCGGATGTTGGCGGCGGCGGTGGCGGCCAACGACATCGGGGTACTTCCCGGTTCCTGGCGGACCTCCGTCTCAGCCAACGTCGCTTGCTCCGCCGGTCCCTGACCTGCAGATGGACTCCCTGCTCTGTCAACGCTCTCCCCGCCGCCCGCCCCGGTAGCGGGGGAGCCGGCTAGGGAGCCAGCGGCGTCGACGCTCCCCGCCGCCCCCCGAGAGAGGAAAGCCACAACCTCAGCGTCTGCCTTGTCCAATCTAGCCTTGTCCCGCTTGTACATGTCCGACTCGAACCACATGGCGTCGTTGAGCTCCTCTGGGGAGTCCTGAGTGTTGGTCTCAGACGGCAGCTCAGACGGTGTGTTCTTGTTGTTCCTGACACAAAAAAAAACGCACAGGAAACAAAACGGATTGGCGGTGAGCGGTTACGTAATTATGTTACAGCAGTGTTTTCGACAACGCGTAGCAACAAGTTTTCAACCTTTAGTGTTGCTGCTGTCCCGGCTTCGTCATTTTTTGTTTACGACGAGGCACGCCCAACTGCGTCATGTCATTCATTTTGCGCAGGGCAAAACTAGAGGGTGGGAAGTACGAGCTATATACCTGCAGTAGGCTGGTGCATTTCGAGTCCTGGGGGGGGTGGCAATCATCTAGCAGAAAAAAAAAAGTGTCTTTGTCTAAACGTTTCTTCCCTGTTTTTGAAATGGCAAGTCAAAGGCACGCGTGTGATGGGTGACCAGACTAGCCGAGAAGGCATAGGTGACACACCACAGCAGTAGGCCCTCGCACAAAAGTATACAGAGGTGCACAGCTGTGCATGCACAACCAATGGTGGCGTCTAGTAGCGTGTTGGTGTGGCTCTCCCTTCCAAGAAGGGCCTCTCTCGCTGATTCATGCGAAAAAAAAAACGCTGCTGGCAAAAAGCGCGCAACAACAACGACGCACAACAACCAAACGATTCTTCTCTTCTCTCGCTTACTCCAACGATAGCCAACAGCAGTAGTACAGGGCACACCCTCCCGTCTCGCTCTCCCGGTGGTGTGTCTCCCGCCTCCCTTGTCCATGTCTCTGTCGGCATGTGTGTGCTTATATTATAAATATTGGCATCGACCGCGCTAACCGGCTGACCAATGAAAGTGTGTGTGTCTTCATCCTCCCGTTTGATGTAGACTACTTAACGACAAACACACGCACGCACACCCATGCTTGACCAACACAGGCATGTAGAACCCTCGTGATTATACGAAGATCCTCACGTCAAGCACCGTCGATTTTGTTTTCCACACACGAAATTAGGGTTGCATTGCTTTCGTCTCCCGGTTTTCGGAGTGTGCGACGCCACGAGAGAGGGAAATACGCTGCGCTGAGAATCTGACTTGCCCGCAAAACTTACGTGTCAAGCCAGAGCCACACTTTCGTGTACTGGCCTTGTAGCTCTTGAACTTGGTCAAGACGGTCGACGGTTTCTCCATGAAGGTCTTCGCCGTGGAGGTGCCTGCGATACATTTCAAACGGCAACAGCGCGTGTGGGAGCGAGAGGAAGTCCGCTATTTGTGTGCATTTTCGGAGGCGGAGCAGCGCCTTGTCTCGTGGTGAACGTGTCGTCAACGTGTGCCCTCTTGCCTCGGATTCATGCATGGCAGCGAATTCGTTCGGGCCTGGAATGTCTATACAAGCAGAGGTGTTGTCGACTAATAGTGCTGTTTCCGCTGCTGCTGCTGCTGCTGCTGCTGCGGGTGATGTCGGTGTTTTTTTTTTTTGGTGTCGGTGTGTGTCTGTCTGCGTCTCCACCCACAAACAAATCGCAGACGTCCCGGAGACTCATGGCTTAGACTTTCCCATTTCAGAGAGTAACGCCCAGACATCTAACACGCATGGGCCGCAAACCATAAACCACATGCATGCATGCATGGAGACACCGGTGGAGGGAGGTGAATGGTTTCGCGAATACTACTGCTGTTGCCAGCAAGACTTTCGCGAATACCACTATTGCTGTTGCCAGCAAAACGAACCCTGATTCCAAACCGTGTTGCAAAAGGTGGCTAGAACTATCCATAATCCTCAAAATAGCAGGTGGCAGGTGGATCGCTGGTACTGCCACTCACGAACACCACACGTGGTGCACCTGCAACCGCTTGATCAAAACCATCTACATTCCTCTTCAGATAATGAATGTGCGTCGTACATGCCAAATGCCAGCTCCGGTTCAATCGACCTCTCCCACAGCACCTGTATTTCTCATTCGGTGGACAGAAAAGGCCCGCAAGTGGGCCCTTTCACTCGCATGGCATGCCTACTCTACTGCTGTGTTCACGAGTACGTCTGCATCAAAATAAAAAAAAAGCCGTTGCAACAATTTGCTACATTCCACATGATGGTCGGGCGTGCCATCACACGACCAGCACAACACAACATGAGTCTTCGGTACGTGTTACGAGTTGATGTAGCCACATTAGATACACACCTAAACCAAGGGTCGTGTAGTACACCATATCCTTCCACTTGTCAGGCATCTGCAGCGGCCCGTCCATGGTGCTCAGGGCGTGCTCGATCAGCTTGATGAAACCAGGAACCGCGATCCCTTGCATGCACTTTGACGCTGCCAGGTTCCGCTGTGCTGCAGACATCTTGTCTGCCGCCTTGACTGCTAGAGCAGAGTGGACGAGTGGTATCGACTGAAGCATCTTGAGGGCAGGCTGGGTCATGGTCTTGTTGCCGTAGGTGCCGCAGAACTTCCGTAAGGCGAACATGAGTCCTCCGAGAGATCGATGGGAAGCATGAGCGCCTTCTGTGACTTCGAAAAATCGACCGCCATCGTGATTTGCGGGATGCTGCTGTGTCGAACTCGGAGACTACCGGGGTGTGTGCGTGGCGTATATGTGGTGTGACGTGTGTCTGGAGTGTGTATGTATGTGGGCGTGGAAAGTGATATTTGCTGTGTGCGCAAGGGGGCCCCGTGCCGCGTGGTTTGTGAAACCGAACCAAAACGCCTCCAAACCTCACAGTCCCACCGAATTTTTTTTCTCGTACCCACAACAGCGGGAGACTCCAGGCACGAAACCTGTTAGATATACTGCGGGCCCGGGTCCGCACGGACGATGGGGAGCTATCGGACTGGTTCCCGGTCACGCAGGGATTACGACAAGGGTGCTCAATGTCCCCACTGCTGTTCAACGTCTTCTTCGCAGCGCCTCTCGAGATCATTGTCACACGGTTCAGCCAAGATGAGGTTATCGTGCGGGA